TTCGCCATGGGGAAACGGTTCTTGAGGGAAACGGGTCCGGAGGTATTTTTCGGCGTTCTCGGGCCTTCGGGGGGGGTTCCACGGGCCCTGGAAGCGTCAGAAAACGATTCAGGATGAAGATCTCGTGCTGGGGGAATTTTTCTCCCCCAGTCCCCGAGTTCCCCCCGAGAAGTTCGGCCGCTCAAACAAAGGGAATGGGGAGACCCTGGGATATACACCCCACAAGGGCTACTCAGGTGCACTCCTATCGAGGATGGACGCCCCCCCATCGTATGTCCCAGGGTTGTGCCCCAGATCTTTGGTCCAGTCGAACTCCTCCTAAAGCTTGGGAAGGGGTCGACATATCCCTTGTTGGAAGGTGCGGAGAGTTTCGAGACAACGTTTAACGGCGAGATTGTATCTGGCTGGCTCTCGCTCTATTGGACAGCGCTGGTGGAGTCCGCGTTCCTATTGTGCGGCTCGCTGGACAACCCTGTGGGCGACGGCAGCCTGCGCGAGAGTAATTTCGGTTCGCTCGTGTTTGTAACCGCAATGGGTCCTGTTGGTTGCGTCATCGTCGCTGTCTTCATCTCGACGCTCGCCCGTGAGCAGACCCTGAAGTATGGCCTGGACATGCGCAACGAAGAGCAGAAGGCTCTGATGAGGCGCGCGATGGACTCCCTGAGGATCCCCTCGCGGCTCCAGCGGCGAGTCTTCAGCCTCCACTACTTCCAGAAGATGCGCCACGATAGGCTAGCGCTGCGCCCTACCAAGTGGGTGTTGTGTGTGTGGCCATGGCGAGCCTCGGTTTTCGCCCAGCGTGCCCGCCCTGCCAAGTATCTCCCTTCTTCTCTTCTCCTCGCTTGTCCTTTCTTCACGCATGCAGCACGCTCGTTCCTCTTTCAGGCCACGGTTCAGTGCGTGAGTTTGCTTATCGCAGGTCGACTCTTGTGGTGTTCCCGGCTTGCTTGTCGACCTTTCGATTCGTTCAGCGGTCGAGGCCGAGTCAGGTGAAGTTCTGTGGTCGCGCTCCGTCTCCCCCTTCCAACAAAAAAAGGCTGGCGCTGGCCGAGCTGCTGAAGACAGAGAACCTGAGCAGGCCGCTCGAGCTGTCCCTCAGGCTCTGCATATACAGCAAGGTCGTCGCGTCCGGCTTCTTCGACACGACCCAGGCGAGTTACATCTTGGAGGTCGTGCAGGTCCTCCAGGACGGCACCAAGCGGGTTTATGGGCGGAGAGTGGCGTAGGGAGGACATAGATCAGGTAGATGAGGCTGACGTTGACGATGGTGATGATGATGGTGATGATGATGATGATGATGATGATGATGATGATGATAGTGATGATGATAATGATGATGATGACGAGGATGAGGATGATGACGATGATGACGAGGATAATGGTGATGGTGATGGTGAATGTGATTGTGATGGTGATGATGATGATGGTGATGTTGGTGGTGGTGGTTTTTGATGACGATGTTGACGAGGACGGCGACGACGACGACGATAATGATGATGAGTATGAGGAAGAGGAGGAGCGTAATGCTGACGACGATGACGTTGCTTCTAATGATGCTGCTGCTGATCATGACGATCATCATGATGATGACGATGGCAATGATGACGAGGATGACACTGACGATGAGGATGATTATGCTGATGATGGTTATGGGAACGATGATGATGACGATGATGATGATGACGATGATGATAGTAATGATGAGGCTGACGACAATGATGGTGACCATGATGATGAGGGGGAGGAGTTTGATGAGACTGATGATGATGCTCTTTCTGACCATGATGGTAATTACCATGATGATGTTGATGATGATGATGATGATGATGGGTATGAGTAGGATCATGACGATGACGACGACGACGTGGCTGCTGCTGTTGCGGATGATGATAATGATGATGATGATGATGATGATGATGGCAATGATGACGATGATGACGATGATGTTGATGATGATGGTGATGGTGATGATGACGATGCTGACGATGTTGGTGACAATGATGACGATGATGGTGATGATGATGTTGATGATGATGACGATGATGATGATGATGATGATGATGATGATGATGATAGTGTTGATGGTGATGGTTTGATGGTGATGGTGATGGTGATGATGATGATGATGATGATGATGATGGTGGTTGTGGTGATGATGCTGGTGACGATGATGGTGATAGTTATGATGATGATGACGACGGTGATGATGACGATGATGATGATGGTGATGATGATGAGGATGATGAGGATGACGATGATGACGATGATGACGATGATGATGATGATGATGATGATGATGATGATGATGATGATGATGATGATGATGATGATGATGATGGCTGCGGCGGCAGCGCGCAACTCACAACCAGGCACTGCTCCGCACGCATCGAACGACGTGCGCTCCAAAATCTGATGATGAGGAGGAGGAGTTGGAGGAGCAGGACCAGGATGTGGATAAGGATGAGGACGAGGATGACGATGATGACGTTGTAGGCCTTGTTGCTCCCAGGTCGTCCGCTACGCCAGAGGATGAGGCGGAGGAAAAGAGAGCCGAAGGGGGACGGTGGAGGAGGAGGGGGAGGCGGAAGACAACGATAGATCCAGCAGGACCGCGCGTACGTTCCCGGCGACTATGTCTGCCGCAGGGGCGAAATGGGCGCAGAGATGTTCTTCGTGAGCCAGGGCGACTTGGTCATGCTCCTCCTTCTAGTCCTCCTCCTCCTTGTCCTCCTGCCTCGGCCTCTCCCCCCGCCTCTTCGTCCCTTACCCTCTTCTCCCTCTTTTCCCTCCCCCTTCCTAGTTTCCCGTGTTTCTCCCCCTCCTTCCCCTAAAGATTCCTCCACCTATTCTTCTTCCTCTCCCTCCTCCCTTATCCCTCGTCCGTCTTCCATCCTTTCTCGCGGCCCCTCCCGCCTCTTTCAAACCTTGCTGCTCTCCTCTCTCCCCCGGCGACCCCGAGGTCGTAGCCTGCCCCCCTCCGCGTATTGGTTTTCACACATAGGCTCCCCCTAAATGTGGTCGATCATATGTGTTTTTCCAACCCGAACGTTTCCGGTAGTTTTAAACTGGCGCTCCCAGTATAGCGTTGGCTCCATTTTCTGGCTCTCGGCCCTTCCAAATCATACTCCCGCTGCAGCACTGACCTCATTTCTTCGTTGCGGATCTTCCGAATCGTTTTCCCGCTGAAGCGTTGGCTCTCATTCAACGCTTCCGCTCTTTCGGAACTGTCCATGTACATTTTTACCTAACAGCTTTTGCTGATAGGTTTCTAGTGGTCTCAAAAGAGAGGGGGGTCTGGGCGGGACCCGGACAGGCTGCCGCCGCGGCTGCCGCCGCACTCGTTTTTCGCAAACAGTCACACACTTCGTGCTCTTCGACTTCCCAGAACTCCATTCCCAGGCCACATTTTGGATGCCCGGAGCCAACTGTAGGCCACTTCGTGCTCTTCAAGTTCCCAGAACTCCATTCCCGGGCCACATTTTGAATGCCCGGAGCCAACTGTAGGCCACTTCGTGTTTTTCTAGTTCCCAGAACTCTGTTCCTGGGCCACATTTTGAATGCTGAGGCAGGCTGATGCTGCGGCCGAGGCAGGCTGAGGCTGAGGCAGGCTGAGGCTGAGGCTGAGGCTGAAGCAGACTGAGACTGAGGCTGAAGCAGACTGAGGCTGAGGCTGAGGCAGGCTGAGGCTGAGGCAGGCTGAGGCTGAGGCTGAGGCAGGCTGATGCTGAGGCAGGCTGAGGCTGAGGCTGAGGCTGATGCAGGGTGAGGCTGAGGCAGGCTGAGGCTGAGGCCGAGGCTGAAGGCAGACTGAGGCTGAGGCTGCAGGCTGAGGCTGAGGCTAGGAGGCTGAGGCTGAGGCTGAGGCTGAGGCTGAGGCAGGCTGAGGCTGAGGCTGAGGCAGGCTGAGGTTGAGGCTGTGACTGCGACTGCCGTTGCCGCTGCGACTGTCATCGCGAATGCGACTACGACTGCGAGAACAGCAGAATTCTACAACTAGATTTTCATCTGAATCTTAAGGGGAATGCTTTCAGATATGCTTCTACACATCGCTGTTAGGTTGCTTTGCCGGGATAATTTCGTCTTGCGTCATGTCTGGTTTCCCTCGGAACCGGTTGTCTAAATGGGTCGTGTTCTCGACCAGGGAAGAAGAGGTCAAAAGGGAATGTGCGACGACCAACCTGCAGATCCACTCGACACTCTGCCCACCGCGGGATTCAGGAATGGGGTATACAGCGACACGAATTACCCCCAGGAACGCATCAGCGCCACGGGCGAGGATGAGGACGAGGAGGACAAATAGCATCGCAGTGACATGATATGCGCGGCAGCAGCGACGACCCCAGCCGAGAGGAGCTGCTGCACACCAGAACTTGCAATGCAAGCTGCAAGCGGGAAGCCCGTGGCTGGGCAGCAATCGGTAGGCATGTGGCCATGCTGGCTCTCATGTCTCGCTTCACTCGACGCGAAAATTAAACGCCATGCGCCATGCTTTGTGCTGCAATGCGTCACTACGCAATGCCACGCCATGCTATGACATGTTACCCTCTGCCGTGCTCGTGTACTCCGTGCTACGCCGTGCACTACCATGTATCCCGTACCCTCTCGGGATCACTGTCTTGCTGGACATCCGATTGTGCGAATAAAGATTTACGCCATGATAAGGGATGGGAGGGAGGGGTAGGACGTCAGATAAGACGCTTGCACACCTAGTTTGACCCCCAATCCCTCTCCCATGATCCCTCCTCCAGTCTCCACCCTCCGCCTCCTCCTCCTTCTCGTCGCCCTCCTCCTCCTCCTCCCACTCCTATCCCGTGTTTCATTCGCATGCGTATCCTGATTGTTCTATGCCTGCCTTCCTGTCTTTGTTCCTTCTCTTCTTGCTCCCCATCCCCATCCTCATCCAAATGTCCTGGCAGACAGCTAGCCTAGAGCGCTGTAAGCACAAGAACATCCCGTGTAGTATCCCCGATCTTGTTTGAAAGACATTGCACCTAGATCATCATCCTCCTCACTCCCCTTCTTCCTCTTTCCTCCTTCATTCTCCTCCGGCCTCCGTCCCGCGTCCTCCTTCTTCATCAGCGGTGTTATTTGGGAAGCGTAGCTCTTCATCGTACAGCCAAGCGTGTCGGCAGAGCAGATTCTGGGCGTTTCCCATCCGACTTCTCCACAATGTACGATCATATGGGTTGGATTTTCGAACGAGAGCCTGGGTATGTTCAACATTGGCTTTGGTTTGGATGTTTTCACAATTAGCGATTCCGAACTGTGGAACACCCATCCGCCACGCGGATGGATGTCCGCTGGTTTTTAGAGTATGTTTCTCGCCGCAGGTTTCGCTGCAACGTAGTGCTCCGGAGTTTGGCATTCCCTACCGCTGCAGGGAGGGAGGGTGGTTAGTTTTCAACATGGGTTGTCGATTGTCACTTCTTCAGCAGTCTTACACTGCATCTCGCCTCGTAGCAGAGCTACATGAGATGTGGGCATGCAACTGCCAATTTCTAGTTCTCGCTTGAGACTTTTGCGCAGTTCATGTTCATAGGTACTGAAAGCCCTAACACTTATCAGATGGTGGGCTGGCCGCTTTCGCAGGCAGACTAGTGTGCAGCATGTTTCCTCCCAGCTAGTGGCCCTACGCGTTCAAACTTCCTGTGCTGGTGGAGGCGGCTCCTTTTCGAAGCCAGGTTGTTCTCTTCCGCTGAACTCTATGATCCGGAGCATCCAGATTCCCAGCGCGTGCGCGAATGGAGGCTTGCTCTTTCTGAACGCTTAGTTTCGTGGTTGCATGGCGTTCCCTCGCGATGTGTGATACTGACGGTGAACATTGGATACGCCAGGAGCCACGCGCACGGAATGTGATTATCTTCGTTTGGCAGGTCGGTGTTCTCGCTTCGTCCCCTGCGTTCCTTAACGTATGCGCCAATTACATGGGTGGAAGGCGATCCCCTTCTGAGCATTACGTACTCGACTCTTGAAGCGGTCGCCGTCTCGGGGTTGAAGGCCGGCAGGGTTCTCCTCAGCCCAGGCCTGTCGCTTGTTGTGGCAGGGGAATAGCGACCTGACCCTTGTGGAAGAGCAGACATTTGCATTCGAAGAAGACGAAGAAAAAAAAACAAAGCCATAAACATAAACGTTTGGCACTCCGCGCGGGTTTCTTGGATCCGCGCTGGGCCCCACCCTGGCGGCGCCTCCGGCGCCGCCCCTGGCGCGCTCCGCGCGCCGGGGAGGGAAATCCAGCGCAGATCCAAGAAATCCGCGCGGAGCGCCAAAAGTTAATCATATTTAGGGCGTTTCTTCTTCTACTTCTTCTTCTCTGTATAATCAAAATTTCTCGGAGGTTCATGCAGATTTCCTGGATTGGCTCTGGACCTCCCACCCCTCCATGGCGCGCTGGAGGCGCGCCAGGGGCGGCTCCTGAGGCGCGCCGCCAGGGAGGCGAAGTGCCGATCCACGACATCCAGGCGGAGCTCCGCAGACGTAATGGAAAAGTCGCTTTGAAATGTTTAACAAATTCCAAGTGTGATAAGACAACATATGCGCATTTATGTGGCCAAGATCTGTAACATTATGTTAAGTAAACTGAAAAGTATTAGTCGGCGAAACAGCTAATATTCTAAAACAACACGATGATCTACTTTCCATCACTGGCCTACTACACCAGTTGGATTTGTTGGCGTTTCCACAAAGAGAAATGACATATATTTTGGAATATCGACTCCAATTGCAGCGTGGATCCCTGGAGGTCTCGACCCATTCTCTGGAACGGGTGTTTCCTCCTGAGTCGTTTTCTTGACGGTCCTGGGGCCTGGCGAAGGCCCCCAGAGGCTGAAGACAGCAGAGAGTCTCGCGTCGTGATTTTCTGCCGACACAATTTGGCCCTTGCGCCTCTCTTGGTAACATGGAGAGTCGTAAGGGTTATGATGTTCCGACCTATTCTAGCCTTGATCATCATAAAGAATTTCGAGCACCAGAAACCTACCGGAACTCGAGGGTTTTCACGTGTCGGGCCCTGGGAGACACTCGTCCGACTTTCTTCGACACTGTTTCGACATTGCTTCGACTTTCTTTCGACACCTTTCTGGGTGCTCGAATTGTTTTCTGGGATGTGGTCCTTAAGCACGATGGGAGCAACATAACGTAAGGGGCGTCACGGGCTCCCCGCGAGCCGCGAGCCGTTGGCTCACGCCGTGGCCGTTGGCTCACGCCGCCAACGCTGAGGAGTACCCGTCCCGCGCGTGGAGCGGAGTGCGGCTGCCCACTCGTGGTGCCAAGTGGACTGCGTTGATCGAGACGACGTTCGATCCTCCTTCTCCTCCTCCTCCTCCTCGTCCTCCTCCTCCTCCTCCTCCTCCTCCTCCTCCTCCT